TGGTTGTCTCATTGGGAAAAACCGATCTGCTGCATTCTACTTTTAATAAATTCCCTTCCTATAACAACATCTGGGCTTATAGGTTCAAAAGGTAACACGACATTAGCCTGGGTCCTTTTCCTTCCGCTCCCGAGCTGCTGGTGCTCATTCTCTCACACCCTCGGCTCTGCTGAACACGTCCCTCATCCTCAGCCACGACCTCAGCCTGGAAACTAACTCCTGCCCTACAGCTTCAATTACAAAACAAATAAAATAACAGAGTACAGTATACACGGGTAATACCACAAAGGAGTAAATTTAGATTACGTTTATACCATCTTATCATTCTATAAAAGGTACTTAAACTATTTCTTTTGCATATAAAGAGATTAGAATATTTGGTCAACTGGAAATATTGCTAGGCACAGAGGACAGCAACGGCATCAAAGTATAATACAAGGATTCAAACAAAAGCTCAAATGCTGAAGACATGCTCTAAGAATGACGGAGCTACAGCAGCCTGGTTACTCGCCGGCACCCTCCTCAGTGTGGGGTGTCCAAGGATTCTCCAAATCCTAGCCAAGCATTTAGGTATATACACACACAATTTCAACAGTCTCTGATTCGTCTTCACAAGTGTCCCACAGTGTCTCTCACCACTGCTCTGTGGGGGCAGAGCCTCAGCTCACACCTCACCGGAATGTGGTTCGGCCTTGGGAACGCTCCCCTGGCGGTCCGAGCGCTGCCAAGGGCCTCGGGTCACTCCCACCTGGGCTGCAGGTGGCAGTGACCCTCGAGCAGACTGGCAAGTGGCACAAGACACCTGGTACGTGGAGATGGAGACACTTGTGGGCAGTGGGGCACAACTGCCCAGTATTTTCTTTATCCACTTTGCCACTCGCCCTGCCCCTCCCCTGGCTGGTGGGCAGCCAGGGCCGCTGCTCCTCGGCTCTGCCCTCCCCTCCCTGCAGCTCGGATGTTTTCCCCAAAGAAGTAGAAGGTTTAAGGCACAGGACACAGCAGGTGCACAGGCAAGGTGGGATCAACGCAACCGAGTGTTGTGCTGGGCAGGCTGGGAGCTCCTGGTCACCACAGTCCTGACTCCAAGGCGCTACAGTGAATTCACACAGTGGTTTTAGGTCTTTCAAGGCATGGATGGGTAAAGAAAACAAAAAAAGGCATCAATGTGAAACCTGATAAACTTGTTGGGATCTGCTTTTTGGGGGAGGAGGAGCAGGAGGGGAGGGGAGTTTCCCAGAGCAGGCTCCATAGTGTAAACTTTAACTTGTGATTTTTATTGGAACAGTCAAGATTGTTACCCATCACCGCAAGGTTAGCAAGAGAAATTAGAGCTAATTTTCTTTTTTTGTAAAAACCGGTAAACTGATTTCTCTTTAAAAAAATAAATCTCTGGTCTTTTAAGGTCACTTCAGCTGCATTTTTAAAGTGGCTTTTTTTTTTTCTGGAATGATGGAAGTTGAAACCCTAGTGCTCAGCCTTTTAAGGTGGAGGCTGAACCCCAGAGGTTTTAAGTCAAGTCCATTTTGTCTCAGGCCTTCCCAAGCTCTAAATGGTGGACTTGGAGAAGGACACACGCAGGTGATGGTTCTCCCCCAGGTCATGATTGTGGAGCTCAATGAGGGACTGAATGGCTTCTTCCACAGAGCTCATCTGGATCAGAGCCATTTTACGGTCCTTCCTGACAAGACACAAGTTTCAGGCATGTTCAGTTCCACTGCAGGAGCTTCCCCAACTCGATCCAAGTTCTCCCACCCAGCACTCAATGGAGCAGAGACCTGACCCCCCCAAGTATTGTAACACACACACTGCACAGAGGAGATCTGTGCCAAGCATGCACAGCCCAACTCTCACTCAGCTAACCTGGCTTTCTTCAACCCATGCTCACCACACACTCAACTCAGGAATTCTTTATTCCAGAGTCAAACACTACATCGGTGAGGATTCTGCTCACCCTTGAGCCTGAGCTGGAATTTGATCAGAACTAAGTACTTCCACACCCTTCCCATGAAAAGCCCAGTGCAAGCAGAGGACAGAGGATAACACAGAGCACTTACTGGAAGAATTTGAATCCTTTGACCATCCCACCGTTGCTTGAAAACAACATCTTAAGGTCTTCTTCAGTTATTGAAGGTCTGAAACAAACAGGTTTTCCAGTCAAACAGACACTGAGGGACCAAGCTCATCTCACAAAACCGATTCCCATCAGACATTTTCCTAAATTCCCGACCAGCAGCCTCTCCACAGGGAGCTGGGTGAGCTCTCCTCCTGCCAGCAGCACAGAGCTGCCTGTGCTGGCTCTCAGACCAGGCCTGCAGACACAACACTCAGCTGACACTCAGCCATACAGGAGCTCTCCCTGCAGATACTTACGGGATGTTGGACAGATGAAGAGTGGCAGAAGGGGGAAAGATGTTCTGGAAATTTTTAGAGCCTGGTTTCTTGAAGCGGTGCAGAGGAGAGTTGCCGAAGTCCTTGGTCAGGCCGTTGTCCTCCTGCCCATCACGGGGCAGCTGCACCGTCTGGTGCTTGGACAGGGTGATACGGATCGGCTTCCCGTGGAGCTTCTGCCCGTTCAGGTGGCTCATGGCTGCAAGGGAGGACACACCTGACTGCAGGGCACTGTGGGTTTATTCAGACTGAAACCAAAGCCAGAATTCCCCTCTCTCTCTCTGCCCAGCCTCACACCCTGCAGGGCTGGCTGTGCCCCTCTGCCCTGATGCCTTCTGAGTCTGTCTCCCACTTGGGCCCACGAGCCACTCCTGCTCCAGAGCTGCCCCACAGCCACAAGGGCAAGGACAGTCAGGGCTGGAGCCTTTGTTTTGAGGAGAGCAAAGCACCACTATCCAAGCTTTACCTTCCCACTCCTCCCTTCCTGCCCAGCCTGACGTGTCTGAGCTTACCGAGCTGGGCCTGGTTGCCATCAGTCATCTGAACCAGAGCATTCTCTTTCTTTTTAAACAAAATCTTCACCCTCTGCACATCACCATAGACTCCTTCAGAGGGGAGGAAACAAGAACAGACTTAGGCAGGGAAACAAAGTCTCATTCAACTTAACATCAACTAACCAATCCAACAGCAAAAACATCCATTCCCAACCAGAACTGATCTCATTCCAACCACGGCTACGTATTCTGCTCTAATTAAGGGAACTCTTATGTAGCAGAATAATAACAATGGAACAATACATTAAAGAAAAGACACTGGGTTTCAGCAAAAAGCCAAAATCTTACTGCCAGAAGACTGGACAATTTCACATGCTCTCACAATTTAAAACTCTTATCAAAGGCATGCAAAGCAATAACCCATGCAGAACTGAACAAAAACCAAAGGCAGACTAAATTAAACAGCAAACTAAGTAAACAATGTAAAACCAAAATTACGCATTCAAACAAAACAAAAAAAATGGCAAACTGCAAACTGTACATTTCTGTAGTATCAAAAAGTAAATCTCAAATAAATGAAAAACAAGGTAATAAAAAGTGTGAATAATAACATACCGAAAAGAATAAAGAGGCATTGGGGTGTAGCTCTCTTTAGAGAACAGCAGAGCAAGGCAGCGGAGGGACAGGGAAGAGGTAAGGAATCGAAGGGGAGAGCGAGGTTGCACAAATCGTCCACAACGAGGAAGGGCAGAGTCCCCGCAGGAAATGGCGAAATTGGTTGATGGATGATGAAGTTTTCAAGATGGTTAATATTGAAGGGCAGGTTGGTTTCCGAAGAGCAGGGTTTTTTTTTTTATTTTTGGTTTGTTTTTTTTTTTTTTTTTTTTGGAAGGGGAATGTTTTTATTTTTTGTTTCAAGCAACAACAGGAAGCAGAAGTACCGTGCAGTCAGTTGGCAAAGAAATTCCGGATCAGGGGAAGAAAAAAAATTCAGGGATGGGGAGAAAAGAAAAAAGTAGCAAAAAACACAGGTCAGTAAATACATAAGGAATATGTAGTGTTCCATCAGTCAGATTTATAGAATTCTACATACAATAACTCGCTTACAGAAACAGTTAATAGGTTTTACCTAGTGGAACACAATGATAAAGAAAAGGCATTTTTACTTCAGGTATACAAAGAAGTAAGAGACAGTATCCCCACGGAGTGACTCCATGGGCTGCAAGAGCCAACTCCATTGCCATTCTCTAAAATTTGGCTGAAAATACTCTCTAATTACAAGACTTCCTTAGAATAAGAGTGACTTCACGGACCAAGCCACAAGCAGCATCTGCTGCTCTGGGCCAGGGACTGCAGGAAGCACCACAGGGAATGTCCACTCTGGACACCAACCACTGCCTGAACAAACAGATCCAGCAGCTGTATGACACTGCCCTCCAAGGGCTGCTGGAAGCACATGGAGAGAGAACAGGTACCCTGTTTGCAGAGGTCTGTCTCTGTCCCGTGTGTGCAGGTCACCACGAGCTGTGATGTGCGGGCTACACATCCATCCCTTGTGGAAGGGAAGACAGAGCCATTTCAGTCCCCTTGACTCCCACTCAGGACCACCCCATGGCAGAGCAGTCACTCCAGGCAATACTGTCTCTTTACTAACTGGTTGTGGCACAGGTAAGTTTCTACAACACTGATTATACAGGCAATGGAAAAAGTTTCATGTCTGTTAGTTCACAGCTTCAGTTCAAGTACCAAAGTCTCTCTAGCCCAAAGACAAGCTGGATGGAGAGTGAAGAGCTCCTCAAAAAACACAGGGCATGAAATAAGTGCTTGCTCCTGCCTATGCAGAGCTGTGCCTGCTGCAGGCACTGCTCAGAGCTGAGAGTGGATTAGGGAGGTGCAGCACGGCCCCTCATCCTGCCACTGCCACCCAGACACACAGCACCACCCCGGGGCACACGCCTGGCAGCGCCACACTGCTCAGAACAGTGACGCCAGCTCTGATTGCCTGAGGCTTTGATGGGACAAGCCAGAGAGGAGAGTCCCTGGAATGGCTGAGCAGTTCCCAGGCAGCACGAGCAGCAAACCCAGAAGCTGAACCACAGCCCCTGCCGTTATTTCATGCCCTGGAGAGAACAGCAAGACAGGTAAGAGCAATCTGAGACATGATCCAATTGCTTCAAGACTTAAACATTTTGATCATTCGTCACATCCAGGCTTCCCCTTAGATCCAAAGAGGTTTTGTGGTGACTCTGCCATCACTGGTAAGTTTTACAGCTTGGCAAGGTTGCTATTAATTGTGTGCACAGTCCCACCAGCTCCAGCTCTTCAGCAGAGCCTCATCACTCTGCTGCACACCAGAAGTTCTACACTTTCAATCCAACCAGAGCCAGAGGCTGACTGAAGGAAAATCCGAGCCCCCCGTATCCAATTCCCTCTTGGTGATGTCTTTCATTAAACAAGACTTTTGATCAAATATTAGTTGCTTTGTTTTTCAAGCAACCCAAATATTTCAATTCACTCAGTTAAGCAGAATTGAAAATGTAAACTGTGAGCTGGGTTTAGCTAAGGAAAAACTTCCAGGAATCCTGGAAGGGGGAAATGTGCAAGCACATGGCAGAGGAAATACTGCACAGGTACAAGGTCAAGCTGGCAGGGGCCAGACACTACACAGAAGGAGCAAAGGTCAGCATAAAGCCTCTCTGTAGTTCTGGATTAATGTATTAAAAACTACAACATGCCAAGGAAAAGGAATGGACATGGCTATTCTGTGACCCAAATGACACTATTCCATGGGAATGGCAGGGAGACTCCAAACAGAAAAGGGAGGAAGGGACAGGCATTGTAGTCTCTGGGGGACAAGAGCAGGCAGGCAGCATCCTTGGCTTTGAACCAAGGAAGAGCAAGATTTTAATTTGAGATGGACTTTCCCATTTCCCTTCAGCAACTAGAGTACTGCTCTGCCCCGTGCTTAGGGCGGGCAGAGCGTGGCACAGCTGCTCAGGCGGCGCTGCCTCCTTCGGGCACAGCAGGAGCCACTCTCAATGCATTTCAGCACAATCTGCGTTCAGAAAGTGAGAGCAGATAACAGGAAGGAGAAAAGAGTAAAGTTAGGACTGCACTAACCTCTGGGCTCAGATTGCTAACCAGCAGCACGGAGTGCCCTGCCCCAGCGAAGCTGGGAATGGCAATCCGTCCTGCTGCAGCCGCCGCAGCTGCTGCTGGAATAGCCAAAGGAGCTAGTGCTCCAGGAACACTTGGAACTGTCAGGCCTGGAAATTAAAGAATATTAACCAGTAAAGAATTAACAGCATGTACTCTAGTGTATTTGCTGCACCAGAAGGGAGAACAGCACACCCTCTGTACCATGCAAGTCATCATTCCAAACATATCCCCAAGGGCAACAGCAGCCTCCCCTTCTGGTGCTGCAGGAAATGTTCTGGTTCCTAACAGGATTTGCTCTTGCAGTGCCTGGTGCTGAGCAGGTGCCTCAGCACCACCGTGCATGTCTCAGAAGCGGCAGAGGGAGCACAAAGCCTGAGCTGTGCTGGTGCAGGGAGGTGTCACACACGGGATGTGGGGAGGGTCTGTCCGACCAGGGCATGCACCACACTGTGCTCACCATGCAAGCAACCACCAGGTACTGTGTGCCACCACCAGCCCAGCTCTCTGGGAGGGCAATCACTGCAGCTGGATTTACAGGCATTCCAAGGCTGCTCCCAGGACCAGCTGGCACCTCCTGTACTGCTCTCCAGGGCCAGGAGCTTTAAAGCTCGAGAAACAGCTGCTAGCAATCAATCCCCTGGATTACTCCCCAGAGCAGCCTTGCCTGTTTCCCCAACAGGGCTGGATGTTACCAAAATATCAATGCCTCAACAGCTTGGTCTGTGCTTGCTTGTCATAAGCAAGGAAATTTCATCAGCTTCCCAGCAAGTCAACATAGCCTGGAATGCTGAGAACCCCAGCAAGGCTTGTTGAGGCTGGCACTGCACTGAGTGTATTCAGCACCTCCAGCTCTCATCTCGGCTCTTGACTACTGCTGGAAGCAGCAATGATCTGTTACCCACAACGTGAGCTGTGAACCTTACAGTGCAACCGTCCCAGCGCATGTCACTGGCCTTATGTTTAAATAACAGCTTTCTCAAAATATTTAGGAAGAAATGGACAGATTCCTTGCTTCTGACCACACTTAGAGCTGTCAGAGAGAGTTCCCAACCTCTGCAACCACATAGAAGTTCTTGTGCTTTCAATTTCCCCTATCTCCTCCCCATCTCCCTCAATTTTACAATCTTTTACTGCCTCTCCCATGCTGCTAGCTGATTCTCCTCCTGTCACCAGGATATTGCCCAGAGGTGCTGCAGCTGCACACAGCATTCCCAGAAGTGAAATACTGGAACACCAGTCCTTTCTAAGCCCAAGTGCCAGCATTTGGAATTTACATGGCTAACCCCAACAACACTGCTACTTGGCTTTAAAACATCAAGGTGCTTCAGCAACAGAAAACCTACATAAGATTTTAACTTACGAAATACAGTACCTGCAGCCTGAGGAATGGCAAAGGTAGGAGGGAAGCCAGCTCCTGCATATGGAGAAGCAGAGATTATTCCTGGGGCACCTGGGAAAGACATACGCATTATACAGACACCCAACAGCAGGAAAACTATAGAGTTAGCTGGAATGTCTCAAGCTGTCCTTCAACATCAGCACTTAGCTGAAAGCTAAACCCCAAAACACAAACAGCAATTCAGAAATGCCTCTCGTGAGAACTCTGAGCTTCAAGAGATTACAAAAACTGCTCCTGGGCTAAACCTACTGCTCCAGAACAGCTCTGACCAGGACACCAGCCAGTCCCTCCTGCACTGCTGAGCCCAGCAGTGCCCCCAGGATCGGTGAGACACCCCAACCCTGCCAGGCCGTGCCAAGGGAGGACACCAGGTGGCGCCGGAGGCACCGACCGCTGGGCCCAGCTCATCATTCCCAGCGCCCCCAGTCCCCCACACTGCTCCTGGGAGGATTTTGTGTCCAGTCTTCTTCCTCAGTCACACCATTCCAAAATCTTGACCAAACACCAGGCTGACGCCCCCTCCCCTTCCCCTCCCGACACACCTCCCACCCCAGTTGGATTTGTCATGCTCCCACTTCCAGAATTCTCACCAAAAGCAGCTGCCATGGTCTGGTCCAGAGTGGGCTGGTTGTCCCCAGAGGGCAGGTCTGGGCGGGTATAGTCTCTGCTCTTGTCGTTGTTGTACTTCACATTGAGACTTGTGAGCTTGGAGAAGTCGATGCGCAGAGTGCAGCAGGCATTGTAGATATTCTGTCCGTCCAGGGACTGTGAGGAAACAAACCAGTCTTTACCCAAATGTATCTACACCAAGCTCACTGCAATCCCCTTCGAGAGAGAAGGTGCTGGGCCATGCTAGGACTCCACCTGAGGGCAGGCAGGTATTGATGTGGAGACAGCTCTGCCTCACTCACCTCCTGCAGCCCCAGCCATGGGGGCAATGCTGGTGTCAGCCCACCAGGACCCCGAGCAGGCCCAGACCCTGTGTCTGACCTGAGCTTGGGCTGACCAAGGCAAACCTGAGTGAGCAATGCAGGTGGGAGCACTCACCAGTTTGGCATGCTGCGCGCTCATGGGGTCAGCATACTGCAGCAGGGCCTGAAACTGGTGGTTCTTCGTGAATGTGATGATTTTCAAGACTGTACCAAATTTGGAAAAAATCTGCAAGACAATGTTCGCATGTCACATCTCCAGTAAGATAATTTCACACTGATCTCAGCTGCTACAAGCAGGAACAAGTCATCCTTTCAGCCTGTGACTTTCAACTTAAACGCTGAAGGTTTTAAACCACACTGTGGGCATTGCTCAACTGAACGTGGCATTGGACTGAAAACCAGAGTGACTGAACTGTCCCCTAAATACAGTTAGTTTGTTCTGGGTTATTACACAGGAAGATTCACAAATACCTTCACAAGTTGGAACTTTTCCAGGAGTTTCAGGGATTCTTAAATGCAGACAAGTTTGCATTTTAAACATGAAGACACTGTTAGTTCCCTTTGCCCAGGCATGAGGACATGGAGTAGCTACTGCTGCTAAAACCTAAACAGAACTTGAAGAACTGCAATCCAACTGAAGTGGACCAGGAATCAAACCTCTGGAAACTAAAGCTTAGCCAGGGAAAGACCAAAATGAGCAAAATCTTTGTAGGTCAGTCTGAGGGCTCTGCTCAGAACCTGCACTGCACAAACATGAAACACAGACTCTGCAAATATAACAGTGCACCAGTTGTTGCTCCCCCTGTGGTTGTGGTGGCATGTTTTACCTGATGCAGAACATCCAGAGTGACAGGGTAGAAGAGGTTCTCCACGATGATCCTCAGGACAGGGCTCTGTCCAGCCATAGCCATTCCCGCATCAACGGCCGCGGCCGTGGCTGCCAGCGCCAGGCTCCCGGTCTGCACCGTGGTCACAGCCTGCAGAGCTGCCTGGGCACGCTGCAGGGGCAAACAGCCTGTTAGACACACACTCAGCTCTTCCTGGGCCTTCTGACTGAGAACGGCCAGCAGGACTCTGCAGAGAGCAGCACAGAGAGCCACGTGCTGTCCTAGGGCTGGGGGTGCTCTAGGGCATTCCAAACATGGCCAATAAAAAACACCCCAACCAGCAAGGGACATGCTAAAATACAGACTAAATCCAACGTGCAGTACCTATGCCACTGCAAAATCTTGCTCAGCATCAGCTGATGCAGAAGAATTGTCCCATTGTTTAGAAAAAGGGAAAAAGGATGCTCCTCTGGGGCAAAAACACCATGTCTAGAATCCCAGAGAAGCTGACAAGACAGTGATCTGCCCCAGGGATCCAGGAGTGAGAACTGCCTGGGGGTATTCCTGCAGGGCTCCCTCACACACAGAACTCTGATGTGGCTCCCGTTGTGAGAGGCACCCAACAGCACTGGAGTCAGCCTGAAAAGTGAGAGAAGGCCAAGGGGACACACTGGCAGCCACCTCTGATAAGGAGCCACAAGTAACTTGAACTTCTTTCCAGTGTTCCTATCCTGAAAGATTGCCAAGAGCAGCTGAGTTGAAAAAACAGGAACTTTTTCCCCCTCTGCAGGGTGTAGTGCACAGAGACCTTCAAGGGCCCAGGCAGAGCCTGATGAGCTCTGGGTTCAGGTGCTGCCCACCTCAAAGCTGGCACCTACCAGCCACGGGCTGTGCTATGCCCCAGGTCAGTTCTGCCCCACCACTTCACAGAAACCTTTCACACAACATCCTAGAGCTCCAGACATGGCTCAAGGCCCTGGATCTCACACCAGCAGCTGGGAGCTGGCTGTCCCCACACCCCAGGTGACAACACAAAGCACAAACTGACTGCTTGGTTAGCAGAGCTGTCTGTCTTCAGCTCCTTGTGGTTGGAGAACTGGATGTAGATGGGCTGGTTCCGGAGCACTGGAGTGACTGTGGTGTAGTAGTTCACCATGGTGCTGGCTGCCTCCTCCGTGTTCATCTCTATGAAAGCCTGCAAAGAATGCAACAGGGACACATCACCCCAGGGCAGCACCCCGAGCCTCAGCTCAACAGGGACGGGACTGGATCCCCACAAAAGCTGCAGCCACACACACATCTCTGCACACAGAACTGCTCAGGAATCGACTCTTAAGTAGAGCAAATAATCTTCACTCTCCAGACTGATTTGGTGCAAGTCTCACCCTAAGATGTCAGTGCTACGTGTATGCAGACACGTGTCTGCAGGAACACAAACACAGCACTAATCCAGACTCTTCACTCATCATGTTAAGGAGCTCCTCTCCAGGGCAGAAGCCCCTCACTGCTCCCCACCCCGAGGGACTCCTGTCCCTCAGAATGCAAACGTAAGGGGCTGTAGCGACTCACTGCAGTAAGCACTTATGGATAATCACACCACCTCTTCGTAATTAAAATTAAAGACAATATTTCAAGCAATGATTAAAGTCAGCTTGCTTTTTTACTCCTTAATTTGCAGGCCAATTTTAGTTACCAAATTAGCACACACCTCCCGCGTTACCCAAGAGTGTCCCAGCTCATTTTCTGCTCTGGGAAGGGAGGGAAGGTGTCCTCAGCACGCCACGTTACACGGGCTACCAGCCCGAGTGAAAGAGGCCAACTCATGGACTGCTGTTCAAACAGCTTCCCTGGTCTGCAATTTCCAAACCAGGCCTCACGCTAATTATAAGTGACAACCTGTAATTATGGACTCAGCTCCTTCTGCAGCCTGAAAATAGTATTTTCTACAGCTCATGGGATAATCACAGAAAAGTAAAATAAGAGCATGCAGAAGTTATTGACTCCTAACACAGGGCAGTTGTTTAAACAACTCGGAGCTGGTTTCCTGATGACAAACTCATTGCGCCTTTGACACGATCCTGCTCTCAATTAGGGAGACAATACCTGGTTTTTTCCTTTCAGCATCAGAAGGTTGGTGACCTTGCCGAACGGCAGGCCCAGAGAAATGACCTCTGCCTCGGCGACGTCGCTGGGCAGCTTGCGGATGTGGATCACTCGGGACGGGAGCCCGGCGCTCCTGCTGTCACCTTTGAACTTCTTGCTGTCGTTTCCATTAGCTGCAAGAAGTGAGAGCTGTGCTGAGGAGAAGGGTCTGGAGGAACAAGCTACGCATCCCACTGCTGACACAGACTCTGCTCCCCAGACAGTTCCTGCTCTGTTACAGAGAAATTCCACAGTCTGAGTTAACTCAGGTCTGAAGACACATGGTTTTACTCTTTTCCCCCAAATTACATGATGGGAATGACATAGCCAAATGCCACTGCAATGGAATCAACTCTCCAGTGGCCATTTCACAGCCTGTTTACTGCACACACACACCCTCCTAGTGCAGGTCTGAGCCTCTAACCCTGGATTGCTGCTTTATTCCTTTCCACTTGGACTGGTGTTCTTGGCAGAGGTTTATTATTATTCAGCACTGAACTACAAAAGGTCTAATAAGTACTAAAAATGAAGAGATTTGAAGATTACAACTAAGTAGGAATATCCAAACCTCCTCACAGTACTTATAAATAATTGCGGTGCTTGTTTCTAGGCAATATTACCTGCAGAAGAGGAGTTGCTGCTCATGATAAAGGGTCCGTTAGTAACACAAGGAGAGAAAAGCTCGTCAGCTTGCCGCTGGAAGAGAACAGACGACAGGTAAACAGACAGCATTTTACCCACTTCTGTCCAGGCACTCCTCAAGCAGAACAACTGAGATAAAGCTGGAGGGGAGCTGAACACAAGAGAAAACATACTGACAGTGGGCAGTGCAGCTCAACTCCATGAATTAAACATCAGTGAGACACAGAGTGGTAATGGAGCAGCACTATCCAGTATCTCTTTCCAGCTCAGCACTAGGACCTCAGGGCTGGAGCTCTGCTGAGCTGTGAAGTCACTAACACAGCACCATGCCCTGACAGGCACCTTCTCCGGTCATACCCACAGAACAGGTTTCTGACTGCTCCTACCCGACAGGATTTTCACTCTGAAGTTGTCCAGAACTGCTCAGGTATGACTTGGCAGTTACGAACCAGAGGTGTGTACTCTTGTGCCCCATCCCTGAAGTGCTCACAGCCAGGCTGGACAGGGCTTGGAGCAGGTGGAAGGTGCTTGCTACAGCATTCCCTGTAAAGTCACCCAGATCACCAACTGACCAGGTCTAGTCTGACCCAAGCAGGAGGCACAAAAAACCACTAAGACAAAAGCAAACCTGACTACAAATGACTTATTAGCACAGTCTACACTTCCACACACAAAACAGCTTACAATCAGCATGGCTCAATTTCAAGTTCCACGGAAGACTTCAAATCCATTGTAAACTGTGAGCAAACATGATACTACACATCTAACACAAAAGAGCACTCTCTCATAGTTTTCTACATTACTCTTGCACCGAAATGCCACACTAAAAAGCCTCCTTTCATCAACAGAAAAACAGCCCAGAGCTCATCCCTGCCTGGGCTCGCTCCCACCCACCTCGATGGAAACATATCCTGCTCCATACCGTGGCACCAGAAACCCTTATCTTCCCCCGTGCCCTGGTATCTGGTGGCACCTGCAGAAACAGGATCTGTGCAACAACAAAGGCTCTGCGCACTCCCCCGGCACACAGGCTGGAAAAGTAGGTCATGGCGAGCCCCAGAACACCCGGCTACAGACACACGTTTTGGGCTGTTTCTTTCCCCCTCAAATCTTGAATTTCTCGTTTGACTACTCACTGCCAACTCTTCAAAGAGGCTTCAAGGACTTTGATGTCCTGAAGAGGAGAACCAGGAAAGGTTCCAAATCCAGGGTTCATGTGCTGCTGCTGGTCACCTGCAAGTGCTGAGCAGGTCCCACTAAGGCTCTGGGCACCAGCAAGGCCTCCTCCTCCTCCTCATATGGTGCAGTCATTAGGAATGGCCCTTTTAACAGCTGTTCTAATTAGTACTTCGATTCCCGAGGACAGCAAGAGGCAAGCTAGGCCGGGAGGCTATTAGACTCTGATCCCATCCTTTGATGACTCAAATTAAGGCATAATTCCAGGGCTAAAAAAATCCCTAGTTTCCTGTAAGAACACTCCTGTACCCGCACTGCTGCAGACACTCCAGGTACAGCTTCACATCTCGTAGCTGGTGACAGGAACCACCCACCAAAGCACAGCCCTGCCCACATGTGTCTCTGGCCTCGTGGAACCCCTCACACATCAGGCCTTCACGGGCCTCCAACATTTTCAAACATGCTCTTAAAACATGAACTTGTACAGCTCTGCACATCCAGACCTCCAGCTCTGCCAGCAGGAACTGCTGAGTCTGTGCAAACACCCTGGGCAGCTCCTGCAGACCGTCATGGAAACGCCAGGAGAAGAAGTCATGGATCTGGCTCTCATGGAGGCAATGCTAAGGAGCCATAAACTGGAAAAACAAACATTTATACTATCATGGAAAAAATTTATATTCCTTGAATTTAACTTCCCTCATGGCCTGCTGAAAACAAGCACTTCCTCACAGGCCCTGTGAGAAAGGATGTTGCTGCTGCCAGGCTCCACGTGTCCCTTCAACGAGCCACTTCCAATCCACTCCCCTCTTATCTTGGAGACAGTCTGTGCTGCCCACTGTGACCAGAGCCGGGAGGCAGGGGGGGATGATTGACCATGATTGTTCCACATCAAAAGCAGCAGCAGTCAATTTGTAAGCTTCCCAGCTGGACGCACATGCAAGCAAAGGAGGAGTTGGAAAACTACAGTTATTCCAAGGTCTTTTCTCTACACAAGGAAGCTTACAGACAGTAGATGGAGTACTGCACGGTTACACCACTCCCTGCCCACACCTCGGTCAAAGAGGCTTTTGAAGTGTGGGAGGAGCAGGAGCCCCGGTGGTCCAGCAGTGCAGCCAGTCCCCAGGTCGAGGAGGCTGCACCAGCCACGGCTTTTCACCAGGCGTGTCCTTCCTCCCTGCCTGGGGGAGCTGAGATCAGATAACCACAGGAAATCCAACCAAACCCGCCGTGCTCTGTGACCTGCCCCAGTCCTGGGCACTCAGCAGCCTCAACCAGCTCTGCCTGCCCTTACACCACTGCAGCAACCCCAGAGTCTCTTTCCAGTCTTTTATTTCTGTGCACGTTAGCAGCTTCAAAACCACAGTACAAATTCAAATGCTTCATACCAAGTACCCAGTTCAGCAGAGGCAGCAAAGTGGGGCTGAAGAGGTTTAGAAGAGTTTTTATGTTGAGTTACACTAGGAAAACCAGCAGGAAAAGTTATCATTCTGAGGAATTATGTAATTTGATTTACGTTTCAAATGAAGCAAACCCACCAACACTGTGGGACTGCTGTGCTCACCCACACCCACCACTGCTCCTCTCCTTGCTGCACTCCAAGGCAGCTCTGCAGCCTCCAGACCCCATCCCTGCCCAGAGGCATCACTGGCACCAACACTGCTGCTCAGCCACTCTTCCACAGCTGACATTGACTCGAGGAGATGGACAGGAACCACACTGCACCCACAGTACATCAAATTCCACGTCTGAACAAACAAATCTCCTCTTCCTGTCGACTGAGAACAGCCCCCACGCTGGAGTCAGACTGCAGATCCTCCCTGGAGCAGGGAAGGGCTGTTTGCACCGCCCAAATCCCGGTCAGCAGCACCAGGGAACGCGGGGTGGGTTTCCATGCCAGCACTCCTGGATACAGAAGGCCTTTGCCCAAGCTGCACTGATTCAATCACACAGCCCTGCTGCCAGCACCTCCCTTCTTCTCTGCCCACAGACAGCGAGAGGCACACGCTGCTGTCAGGGAGTTTAACATTTCCTATTTACCCCCGTAACCTTTTTGACCACCCCCAAACTCTAAGCCTTGAAGTTTTTAAAAGTCAGTCCTAAGAGTCTGTCCAGGCTCTGCAGCTTGAAAAGCAACAGGTAATTCACCTGACACCACACACTGCCATTGGGATTCTACCTGAGGTTTACCATACTTTGGAATAGAGCCAGAGATTGTCTCAGCTTCCATCAGCACACCTAGGAGTGCTGCAGAAATTCCCAGCTGCCCTATATAATCCTTTATCTACTTAAGATCCAGCACTTATTTTAAATGGATTACAGTAAGACAACTGCATCCTGCCTGTGCAAAAGGCTAGAAACAAATACAAACTGAAGGACCACAAGAATATTACTGTCAAGTCAAACAAGCAATATTAATCAACTTTTGGGCAGAAGGCAGAATTAAAGCAATGGCAAAAGGACAGGGCACATGGAAAAGAGGGGGATGATGACCAGAAACCCAGAAGCCACAGGCTGGCCAAGCCCAAGATCTCCTAAAAGCTGTTTGTCTCCCTGACTCACCAAGAAAACCCTACAGAACAGCAGCACTCTGTGCCTTCAGATGCAGAGCAGCTTCCACTGCTCAGACAGGCTTGGGATAGCAGGGCATCGCTGATCTTCACTTCCCTATGTTTGGAAAAATTCTGTGGAGCTAATAAAAGACATCGTAATAGTTCCACAAAAGTAGCACAAATCACTGAGGAGCTCATGCAAAGCCTCTACTCTCCTCAGAGAGGCAAGAAAAGGCCTCTGAGCGCAGGAGGAAGGAGCGGCTCTGGAGTACTCAAGGCTGTCTGAGGTCAGTCCCTCTCAGTCCCAGAGGGACGGAGGAATGCTCTGATCCTTCAGTTCACAGCTCAAATCCCTGTGAAGAAACTATTAAGAGAAATCCAGTCTGATGACATCATCATTCACACTCATGTTACATTCCAACATTTTTTGCTGAGAGATTGGAGATTCAGGAACGGAACTAAATTTAAACCACCAGGAAGGATGCCAGTTTTCCTCATCTTCCACAGAAGACTCATGTCCAGCAAGGCTCCCTCAGGTTTGCCCTCCAATATTCTTCAGTCAGTTAGAGGTAAAGCAGTGTGAAAAACATTTCAGTTTGGGTCACAAACACAAACCACAAGTCAACTTTTTTGTGAAACATCTCTGAAGAACACACACCACCTCTGCATCCCCATCAGACGCCAGGAACATGGGAAGTTAAGGTCAACACAGGAACTTCAAGAGTGCAGGCTCAGCACAGCACAACACTTCTCCCAGGGTCATTCACCCCTGGGACGCACACTTCACCATCTGACCACAGCCAGTAGATTGCTGCAGTTCACCAAGCTGCTCAGGGCTGATGTTGGAGGGACCAGTTCAAGCACGGAAAGCCCAACACAGTTAACACCAACCCAGCAGTCGGCACAAGGACACAGTGGATCTGTGGTGGAGGCATCAGCCTGGCTGGGGCAGAGGATGCCTATTTTTAAACCACACCGTGCTCAGCCAACACCAGTCACCTGCCACCTGCCACTTCAGGCTTTTATGCTGTTACAAACTGCCTCTTGCCTGGACAAGATTTAGGCTGATATCCCCACTGCGATGCCCATGGGCACACACTCTGAACCTCTGATGCCAGGCGGGCTGGGCAGAGCAGCACAGCTCCCTACCACAGTTCTGCCACAAGCCCTGGCACCATCTCCACAGGGCACAGACAGGCTCTGGAGTGCCCAAGGGCCACACCAGGCCCTCTGGTGCTGCGTGAGAGCACTCGCTGCACCTCCAGCACCAGGACTGGCAATGAGCTGTGCAGAGCCTGAGAGCAGAGCAGGATCCCCAACCCACTCATCCCTCAGCCCCTCCCGACTCTCCTCCTCAGTCTCTATGGAGACACCCTGCAGAAACAAACCTGCCCTTTGAGCAAATAAAAGGTGTGGCCAGTCTAAATAGCCCAAAATTCCTCAACTCCAGTGCTGCAGCAATGCAGTCATGCTGGCTCTGTAGGGCAGCACACACCCAGGCTGTGTGATCCACCTCTCCCCAGCTCAAACTCAACTGCTCCACAACCTTGAGCTTTTACACCACTGGCTGGAGCAGAGGGGCCTTGGCAGAGCTCAACACAAATCCTACCCGAGAAACGCTGCGGGATGAGTCACTCCAGGAACACAGAACCTATGGAAGGGCCTGTCTGCCAAAGGGCCACAGGAACACGCAGGGTCAGCAGAACAG